AATTTAAAATACCTTTTATGTCTATTAAAATATTTATGAAAGTCTCTCGTTTTGCCATGAACACTTTTATTAATCGGGGGCTCTCCCTAAATTTTTCACTAAGGTTTTACCGTCGTAAGACTGAAGACGATTTTTTATTGAATATTCAACTGCATTCATTATTTTTATTTAAAATCAAACAATTTCACTCGCGCAGAATGATGATGGAATCCCGCAATTGAGTTACTGTTAGAGGTCACTGTTCAAGCAGGACCCGATTCCAGCTAAATGCAGCGACTAGACGCACTGTTTCCATGACAACGATGTAAACAAAACGCTTCAATGAGTCATGATTTGGTCTCCGCTTTTATCAGCACTCACCAGCAACATATCACATATCCAAGACAGTTTTGATACAATTTATACAAATGGATCAAGATAAAAAATTTAGTTTTGATAATTATTAGACAAATTTGTGGATAATTTTTTACATATTGTCTATTTTTCTACGTCCAGTGTGTTTGTAGACGATGTGGGGGGGTGGGGGATGCACCCACTGGCACTAACCCCCCCTGAGTAGAAGCCTTTAAACTCTTTTTCTTATAATTTCAAACCGCAATAATTTTATAAGTTAGTGAAAATAGATTAAGGCAGGTATTTTAGTTCTTTTTGTGGATTTTTTTGGGAAATATTTTAAACTGAAATCATAGATTTGAACAACTGTTAAAATTACAGAAACAAGTACACTTTATGAAATTTTGAGGTGTGTGATTTCGACTAATACAGAAATATTTGACATAACATTGTTTAAGAAATGATACGTAGCTAACTATTACACTCTTTCAACTGTTTAGCGCAGATTTGGAGCTACTAAAAATGTATCAAAAATGTTGGGAGATCCTTATATATTTTTTTTGACAATCATTACAAATTTATAGACGTTTTAAGTCCCCAATGAAGTGTTACTTTTTTGCACTCAAATATCAAAATTACTTTTTTGAACTCACTTGTCACTTTTTTGTACACAGATGTTCAAAACTTATTTTTGCGTCGTTGGTTTTGTGTTTTTGACAATTTTTTTTTAATAAAAAGGCCAAAAATGCCATTATTTGAGCTCTATCTTTGGTGAATATCGTTGTAAAACATGACGGAACCAATTTTTTTCTTAGTATTATAGGAGCAAAGTACCACTTTAGTTTTTGTCAAATCTGCGAGATTTTTCTTTCAACAAAGAAAACAGTTTTTTAACCTCGAAACCACTTACATATTCAATTATGTTTCTGTATGGTAGATTAAAAAACATTGCACCTCGGCCAAATAGAGCTTTTTCGGCCTTCTCCGATTCGTAGGCCTCGGCTAAAACTCGGCCTCAGACTTCAGATTGACTGAAAAAGTTCTTTTTTATAATTTTGATACACAAAAATAACTATTTACTCCTCAAGTGTCAACTAGAGAAATATTGTAAATAGGGTCCATCGGACGAGTGGCTACTTTCAAGTTTTCTTGATGTTTCATAACACCCAGAATACGAAGCAATAGATTTTCGGTTTCTGTCTGTCTGTGTCGATCTTTATTAGATATATCTATAATCTCCGCAACTACTCGACCGTTTATTGTCAAATTTTATGTGACTTAGGAAGATCGTGTGTACCGCTAACCAAAATTTGTCTAATTATGATAATTTGGTGACGTCACTGCAAAATTGTGCGTGATAAATGCTATTTGAATTTTATAAAATAACATGCTCCTGTCGTTGTGGTTTATGAGTCCACATTGATTATTCTACAATTATTCTACATGTCTTTCATGTAACCGATATCTGTCTTCTGCACCTGATGGATTCTGTAGGATTTGTGCTCTTCCCCGGTTTGAATCGCATCCTTATCAAATGTTTTTTTTTCAGTCTGACTGGTGTTTATATGTATATGTTTTTTACTTATAAGAGTTTTCATAAAATAAATAAAAAAAATCAAAAATCAGGCTTCACAGAAAATTCGTAAATTTGGATATGATATTTATGGTAGTTTTCGGAAATTGAGCACCAATTTTTTTTATTTTTTAAGTTTAACTGTAAAAATTGTTATAAAAAAATTGGTCGAAGGTTATTTCGACAGAACTTCCCTCGCCCTTAAAGTACAATCCAACACATCCTGCTTCTTTGAAAAATTGTACACTCTGGTTTTCCGACATTTTATTTGTGATAACCTCTATACATGAAAAAGAATATGGATAATGGCAGCAACATTATAAAAAATGAAAAAGCAAGGTACATGAGGTAAGGGAACTAGGGGCTTGTTGTAACAGGGGTAAGTTGTAACACTAAATTTTTACCCGGAATTTAAACTCTTTAACGTCAGGTTTTTCACTGATTTTAATTCTTGCACCATAAGACATCATGTCATCACAACCACTGTTCCTCCAGCCAGCGCAGTGAGTGGATGTGTGCACGTGTTTCGTTTTGGCCAGGTAATGTAAAATATTGCTTTGGTAAAATTTAGTTTTTCGTATTTGTTATTAATTAATTTTAAACTTTTAGTTTTGCCTGTAGTTCAAAAATTACTCAGCTTTGATATTCCTTACACATTTTAACGTTAAGCGACATAATTTTGTCGAAATGTAATTAAATGTAGAAAATTGTGCTACGGCGCATGTTGTAACAATACCTGAGGGGCAAGTAATAAATATTGTATATAATGAAGTGTTGTGTTGATTTTTGAAAAATAAAGTCTAAATATGTGTCAACATCAGCTTTATTTTTACTGGTACTACCTCCCTCATGGCTGTTACAACTAGCCCCAAACACGGGGCAAGTTGTAACAGTGCACTTTTTTTAAGAAAATGCCTGGTATAAAGTGAATATGAACAATTTTGACCTTTTGCCTGTTCAGTCCAGTAGGGAAATAGTTAGACTACCGACATATACTTTTATAATGGTCAAACAGGTAGTAAATACCAAATTATATTCGTTTTCCTAAAAACTGTTACAACAAGCCCCTCGTTCCCCTACATGTTTTTGTCTATTCAAACTTTCAAACTCTCGAGATCGGCTTGGTCGACGCTTCTACTCATAAACTACAAGTACAAGTGTATGTTACTGCAAAAAATTTAAATCATATTTATGTGATTAGCCAAATTTTCGTTAGCGTTTCACCGTTTACATGATATTAGTAATATACAAGTAGGCCCAGAATAACTGTCTATTAAAAATTGACACAGAAAGAAAACAAATACGCTCGATGGATTTGATTAATAAAGCTGCGTTTAGAATAAACCAATGCTTTAGATTTGCAAAGAATACATGTAATATTAGAAAATTCTTTTGTTTAAATTATTTGTTGCCGATGAAATTCGATGCTGACCGTAAACATAACAATAAATTTCCCCTGCTGCGAAACGCTGGCGAATAAAGCGTCATAGAGTGAACTTCCCTGGAATCTTTTAAACGATCGCTCCATAAACCAGCGGTTGTCAGTGTTTGTAATTCGCGCCTCCTTTTTACTTCCCGAGCTTAAGCTTAGGAAGTATTGTAATCGAGTTCATCGGACAACTGGTTAATGAGATGACAATGATGTCATTATCTCCAAAGTTTACAATAGTAAATGTTATTCAAATTTTATAAAATAAGATACTCCTGTACTTGTAATTTGTGAATCCGTTTGGAGTTTTTACATCTAGAAATTCAGATTAAAAAAAAAAAACAAAAGATCTGACTTAAATTTATCTTGAATAATATTGCGTCTTCTGCGTAATATAAGACAAGATGAGAGTAACCCAATTTACGGAAATTTAAACTCGATTTGGCAACGCTGGGTATAACTGCTGATGCAGTTCAGTCGTGCCGTATTGGTGCGTGAGTTACTGTTTCACCCAAATATTGGCGGTAGATACTGATATCTCAAAATTTTTGCGAGTAAAAATACCCGCCTTTGAAAGCTGCACGTTTGTGGGTAAGTTGTTCCATTTTGACTATGTTACATAAGAGACTTTTTTATAAGCACTTGTGAAGAAGAAATCTCCAGCAGTAGCTTTATAGTCATTTCAAAGTTAATTGTTGTAGTATAGTGTAATAACTATAAGTATGTAATGATCCAGATGGACGTTGTGTTATGATCATAGTTTAAAAGTACAAAGATCTTCAAGCTCTGATAACTTTGAGATTGTAAAAATAACTCAGTAGAAACCGAACGTGTGAAGTAAGCAGTATATTATGAGAACGTATTGCAAATATTTGAAACATCTATATTAGAGCTATTCCTTACAAATATTTTATTTTAATATTTTCGTTTTGATTACATTTTAAATTAATAAAAAATATGTCAAATGCTTTCTCTTATTCATTTTTTCGACACCTCACAGTTTGAGAACCGCTGCCGCAGACTTACTAACCGTCACGCACGTTATTAGTCCCACAACACCGGAAAGGTCAATATAGTATACACATGTTTCAATTGTCAAGTCATTTTCTTCACCTAAGCTGTTTAGCTGAAATTTTTACTGCTGTGACAATAAGAACGACTAGACGTTTGTTGTTGTCAACTACACATATTTCAAAAATATCAACAGCGACACTGCGAAGGCGAGAAAAGTCGTATGTAAATTACTTTACTACATTTGTATAGCACCTTGATTACAAATTTCGTTAATTCTTTCCAAAAGAGGTGCTAAGTAAACGCGTTGTGAAACTACTTGCCATGCATACATTTGGGGCAAAAAATCTATCTTATGTTTAGCATATATTCCAGCTACTTTTCAATCAATCATGCACATATGGCATGTTTTTTGATCATATCTACCAAAACGAATCATTCAATAAATTCAGCTAAAACTCTCCCTAAATATCCACTTTATCCTTGAAAGTCACGATCGCCTTTTCAGCATTCATCACCGGGTCCGCTTGTTATTGCTACGCAAAACGAATCAAGCCCGAGCCCGACCTTGACGGTCCGCTCCTGTAAATATTTTAAGTCTTTCATCCCTAATCCCAATACATCAGACCGCCTCCGTTCTCCGTCCCCACGTACCTGTGACAGGATGGGTGGGCACGCAATCCATCCTGACGTCAGCGACAGCTTCGTTGATTGCTTGGCTCACATAGACGAAGCAATATTCGACGTAGCGCTCGGTGAATAAATCACAATCAAAGTGCAAACTGTGCTGGCCCCTGATGACCCGCTTTTCGGCCACGTACTCGAGGGAGGTCGGCGGCGCCAGGGACGCCACGTTGGCCCGCAGACGGGCGAACAAGCGGACGCGGTCCCCGGACGCTAGGATGCACGAAGGATATTGGAATAGGACCGTTATACCGCTGCCGTGGGTGTCGCAGGGGAAGATGCTGCGGGCGTGGACGTTGAAGACGAACTCCTCGCTCCAATCGGCCTAGAAAAGAAATATAGATTGAGTTGATAATCGTGAACAGAAAATTTATTTATATCCAAAGGGGGGGTTCGTATTAACAACACGGAGTTGTCAGTCGACGTACTCCATTACGAGCTGAATATTCTTAGGTGACTTTAGATCATTAAAGAAGTAGAAACCATGACTTTAGCTTCATGGTATTTGAAAAATTAAAACACTTATAGATAAAGAGGGAATTCTAGGGCAAACGCCTTTTTATTTTGGTTGTAGGCAAATATATGAAAGTTGTATACAATTGTACAAAACAGCTGAAATTAGGTACAGACATACAAGAAGTTGTGCTCTAATTATTCGTCAAAAAGATTTTACAACTTGATTTTTTTTAAATGGCACTACGATATAAGTAATGCATTTTTGAAAAGAGCCTTTTTCTTTGAATTCATTGATGTAGTACAATCATACTTTTTGTCTGACTGAAATGGCAAAATAAATTATTTATTTAATCATTGTTTCATAACGAAATTTTAATGTTTAAAAAAAGTAATTTTTCTTCTATATTTTGCATATAATGCCAAATTTCTGTGCATATGTATGCGCATATTTAAGTACATGATTTTTTCTACATATAATTCCGAGCTTTAGCAATATGATACCATGTTTTCTTAAACCATGATCAGATAGATCTATGGCAACTTCGGCTGGAGTCCAATACATTTTTCATTTGATATTTGTAGTGACAATATTCTGGCTACAGAAAATATTATAATTCTATAGTTTTTAGTAAAAAACCGCCCCTGATTAAGGAAACAAAATAATGTACATAATTTTCCGAGTGTTAGAAAATCCAGATGAATGTAGCAGAAATAAACAAAATGTAACGTGTGAGGGTAGACAAATGAGTTGTGAGCATGATATACGAGCGTGTGAAAATCAAAGTGAAACAAGTGGTGCGAAAATCTTCTTAGCTGAAGTCACCGAATAAATTTGTTGCGCCAAATGTTGTTGTCAGAAATTTAAGTGTTCTACATTTTCGTTGCGTACGTTGAGTTATGGTCTTGTTGATTACTGGTTATATCTTCTGTAGTAATAATAGATTTTTTTTTCAAACTATTTTATCGACGGCAGTTTAATATACTATTAATCAGTCCACCTGGTCGACGACGTACGGTTGTTCACTCTTCAAAATAACGATTACTACTCTTCTATCAAAAAATAAATGTGATATAAATCGGAAAGAAAACAATAAGTTAAACAGAAGTTAATATAATGTATGAGATATTATATTTATCACAGTAAAATAAGATCCATTAAATATATAAAAAAAGGAAGGGAAAAAAACTCATTGTTTTTCTAGGGTCTACGAAAGAGATTATTTTTTAATACGCTACGACGTTTTAAAACCCGAAACGAATAAAAGTGCAGTCACTGTTCGAGCGATTGTAATCTTGTAATCCATAACTCCCTGTTACCATAAAAAAATTGATAGTTCTTTTAAATTGCACACAGCAAAGTTAGTAGAGAAAAAGCTAACAGCGATAATTCCACAAGCATGTAGTCTGACGGTGATAATATAAATGAAGGAAATGTCACGCTTGATTTACTGCTTTTAAATTAAAAGTAACCTAAAATCCCTAGAAGATAACAAATAACTCTTCCATTTAGCTCGAAAATTTATGCAGTTTTTGTGCGAGGCTTTTTCGATATGAGCTCCAACTACCCGTATAACGTGAAGCTTTTAAACAGAGTCAAACGGGGTCACAAAAATAAATCATCCTCAGATATACCATTCTACAATATTAAGCGATTACTCCTGTGTAGAGTAAAGTCAAAACAATGTAAATTGAATTTGTTATCAGATTTTCATTAAGTAAGTTATTCATTATGGCCAATCGATAATTTAGTCTTGTCAATTCGTGGTGAAAGCAAATTAAATCAACACAGCAACCTAGCGGTGATGTCAATTTTCATTATAATTTTAGAATGTTCAACAAAAATCACGATAAAGGACAGAAGGAATTCTACATGTAGATACGCATGTTTACTAGTGCAAACTGACATGTCAAAGTGTAATGAATTTGTCTAATTAATGGCATTCAACTGGAAACTGGAAGCCCGATACTTGATTATTCTCATTCTGACCTAATTGAAGGGTTTCTAAAAGCAATTTATAGCCTACTCAAGGCAAGGGTCATTCTACTTTATTTACAATGTTTTTGGTTATATGAATTTACAGCGGTAACTGCTATGGGATACGATAAAATGAGAACTAATTGTAACAAATTATACTAAACTGAAAAGCTCTTGCAAAAAACGAGCAACAAATGAAACTGATCACCTAAAAACATTTATTATTTAAACGTGTTTTATTTTCAACGTCTTGATATAAATTTTAAATGTTCGTGTAATAGCAACGTAAATCTCTTGCAGAAAATTAGAAAGTTGAAAGGAGCTAAATTGTAAAGGCTCTTGGCCTCAGGAACTTTAAATCAGGCTAATGTCCGTGCTAGGTTAATCATATTTTTTACATTCAACACGTTGTCATAGGAACTTTAATTTCCTCATCACGGTGTTTTTATTAGATCTCTGATGGATAATAAGACTCAAACTTTATTTAACTTGATAAAAGTTTCAAAGTACCAAGTTGTAGAGATGAAACTATCTTAATATTTCAATTCAACAAAGTTTATCTTGGGACGACTTTCAAAAAAATGGTGTTTTTAACCAGTTTGCACTTATTTTAAATTTATTGGTGCAAAAGAAATTGTATTAAAAAAACGTATTGGAGTAGCTTGTTAATTAAACGAGGAATCTAAATGTTTTAAGTCTTTTGCACACTCCTCAATAGCAAATCATGTGAAGCTTAATTTATTTCTTCCACAGTCTACGTCTCATACAAGAATAACTGAACCTACTAGAGCTTAGCTCTAAAATTATATTTCAGTATTTTGAAAAATGTATTCCATTTTATTCACTCTGGACATGGTCTACGGCTTTTTGTTTCTTGGAACTTTGTCAAACTACACACTGACTTACACGAGCAGTTCGCTTACGACAAAGTTCTTCTAGATATTCTTATATAAATAGATTATAAAGTAGCTTTATAGTCTTTTATGAGCCAGATTTAGTTACTCACAATAGAGTTTTGTATTTACAAGATTTATACACTTAATGTCTTTTGTCATATACTGTACAACACTTATGCTTCAACTGGGCGCGTTTGCTCTTTCAGCTTGACAGAATATACGCACACGATTTTTAGCTATTATGAAAAGAGTTTAGCATTTAGTTATTTACACAAAACATTGTTTGCATTTGAAGTACTGTGCAGCTAATTTCAAAGCCTATAAGGGATTTATTTAATTTTTTGCGATGACGTCATAAATTTATTGATGGATATACATATATTAATTCTAACATACTATTAATCGCATGATTACTATGCTTTTAGATTTGTGGAAATAGTGTATAAATTTATTCGGTCCATCAATTAAGTATTATTGTTTTGAATGAGTAATTAAAAAATAATAACCATATATTACTTGACCAGAAACAAAATGTGTCTCAGGATATATTTATGGACATATTAGTCAAATAGTCTTTTTTGTCATCAACTTTCTGACATGAAAAAATAAATATTTTACCTACCATATGTAACTTTTTTATAAAATTCATATACATAAAATTGAAAATGGAGACAGATTAATAAGTCACAAAAAATACATATATTTAAAGGTATTTTAAGATAGCGTGATACTCATAATTGTTATGCCAGAAATGAAAAATTTAAATTAACGTTTTCCATTTTTATACACAAATATGATTTAATGAGAATTTATAGGTCTAAACCTCAGTGTCAATTAGTAGCTGTCCATATAGTCCAAGATTTAGCGATCCATTTAGTTTATATCAGTGGCGGCTCGTGAAGTTTTCTTCAGAGGAGGCTCAAATTTGAAAAGCACTACTTTTTATATCTTTCATTATCTGAATAATTTTTTTTTGTCATACCCACGAAAAGAACACTCCTGCGTTGATAGATAAATCAACTATTGCATCGATTAGTCTTTTCAAAATTGCCCTATTTTCATCAACTTTCTCGTTATAGTTCTCAATATCCCTCTTATGAGCGGAATCTAAAATAGTAGATGTGATTTTTCATGCCTTTCTATAGCTCTTGACAAATTTTGTAAATTATTATTATAGCCTGTTTTATCCCAAACGGAAGATTTATCACTTGTGAATAATACACAATTCCAACAGTATAATTTGTTTCTTAAAACCGAAGCCGTTAACTATTTAGTTTTATTATAATTATTTTCATGAAATGCTCTGTTTTGCCTTCTACCTGTTATTACCATTAATGGGAGTGGTGGTGTTGGTCTCCTCTTTTGTTTATACCTATCTAACAACAACAATCAAATCTACTGAATTAATTTTTTAATAGATAATTTACGTATCTGCACATGAAACCGAATTATTTTCGTTGCTCATTCTCATTAAGTATAAGTAATATTAATATATAATACCAACTGTTTTTAACGATCAGAAATAAAATGCAAATAAATGATACAAAAAACACCTTACGCTTTACGTAGGTACTACGTAAAGCCTAAACACCACTCACCACTGAATAGGGAACACGCGAAACCACCTCAATGTTTTTCCTATTTACACCCGATGGAGCCAATTAATAAGAAAGAGATAAAATTATCCGTGCGACTTGATCTGAAAAGAGATGAACTAGCCGGAGGCTAGCGGCCTGAAGCGGCATCCCGATCAACGTTTTAGCCAATGCAGTACCGAATAACGATGCGTCAAGGTTTACGGTCTCAATAGCATGATGCATTCTCGGCGGAGGCTAGCTTCTACCGCTGGAGCCAAACGCGGAGTGGTGTGAATTATGATTGTAAGGGCGCAAATATAATTTTTTTTTTCAACATTTTAACCTGATATATGATGAAAGTAAATTAAATCAAACAAAATATCCTGAAAAGTAACAAATGTCTACAAAAATACAATTTCTT